CAGTTCGCCCACTCCTCATACTACATCACGAAAAATGGTGCCCATCTGATTGAAATGACTTACATCTTCATATTATATTCCAAGCAGGAGAAAAAATGCATGTTATTAAGCTGTAGGTAGATATGTATATGACAGTTCAGAAAAAAGTATGTAGGTGCCCCTAAATTACAAATTAACTGAATGTTTTCGAGTATTTTTTGAGAAGGAAAGGTCATAGGTTAAATTTCTTTACCAAAATTTCACTCGTATACAGTTGCAGAAAAACAAAGACTTGTATACGTAAAATTTAACCGAGGCACCTTTGAATAGTCAGATTAACCGAGAGTATTATTTTAAAAAAATTGCTTGTAAAAGAGATTTCATGGATTTAAATTCCAGCACAAGAGAAGCCCCTTTAGAATATATAACTGAAAGGTGTTTGAAATCCGCTTTTGTACGTAAACGATAGTTGCCGTTGATTATGATTGTTGAATAAATTGTGAACGCGAACGTGTTCAAATACTTTAATGGGAATGTTCGCCGTCTGACAATTAAATCATCCTGAGCAAATTGCTTTGATGTCTGTAATTTCCATATTAGCTTGATTTTTCATGCGAGGCAAATTAAATTTCCATTAAAACGTCAATATTCCCTAGCGTTTAATAAAATTAGTGTTTCGTAGAAAATGCGTTATTACATTTAGTCCGACCTGTTGGTTTCATTTAACCTCGTCCGTAATTATATTTGGACGTCTCTCTACAGAAAACATCCCTTTTAACACGACACCGTCGCCCCTTCGACTATCGTCACGTACAGATGGAATGTCCCGCAATCATTGCGGTATTATTTTACATTTGCAGTAACGGTTATCTACCAAAATTAGATGCTATAAAAGGTAATCCGCCAGATGCGCGCTTCTCGATTAATATCTTAGGAAAACTGCAGTAGCCCTTCCTTTTAAGTGTTGTACATGCTCGGAAAGATGAAAAATTACTTCGTACGAGTGAGTAACACGCCATAACATTTCGTCCATTTCGAGTCGGCACTAAAATGAAGACGCCGACGGAATATGTTATTTGAAGGTGGCAGGATTGTGCACAAAGAAATGAATCTCTAAACCAGGTGGAAAGTGACAAAGATTACTTTCACCTGCAAACAGTAAGATCATCAGTTTTACAAAGTCAGATCAGCAGCTAGTCCAAATTAACCAGACACCGGTCCAGATGTTATCAACGCTAGGACGAAGATAAATGAGGTGAGGATGAGTCGGGGTGAATAAAGTTAAATAAGAAACGAGTTACAAGCGACATATGCGATCTATCCTATCAAAGCAGTCGAGAATTCCATACACCCACGGCCATACATTGAAAATTAGGAAAGCTCGTATAAGGGAAAGTAAACAATAACTCAACGTCTCGGATTCGGGTAGGTACCGGTACCACCACCTCACGAAAGGCGAAACAGGAAGAGGAAAAAAGGTGAACGAAACGGCAGTAGCAAGACTAACTCGCTTTTAATTTAGAAGCGCCGAGCAATGTAATTTAAGGTATCGATCTTGACGCTATCGACAATTTATCTAACGGGCAGCTTTTATAATCGGTTCTGCAGGTCTCATTTGTTATTGTAAGACACTTTTAGTAAGTGCACGCTCTGCTTCCTCATCCGGCTTTAATTATTTCGCTATCAAGTCAACAGTCGAAGTAATTGCAACTTAAAGGTGAGGTGCGCTATATTGGATTCTTCCCAATTCGAATTACTCGAAACAAAAATGTCTAATTAACGCTAATGCCGGGCGCAGTTTTTGATTTATGCGAAATAAAAAGCGGGACGGGGCGAACTTTAAATGAAAATTGAAAACCACGTCCTGCATTGTTCCGCTTGTGTTGTTACTCGTGACATTGTTTTCGGGGGAAAAAAACTTTTTGGTATAACAGTCGTTAATTATTTACTAAATGCTATACCCTTCTCTTTTACTTCTGCCCGTAACGATACGAGAAAGTGTAATTTACAATTCATGCTTTCACCTGTAATTGACCACATACATTGAAACTTTGTAAATGGTCACTTTTTGTCAAGAGCTACAAAATGTGTTGAATTTTTCACGTTTTAGCTCCCTATTATTCCAAAGGTTGGTTACCAAAAGGTTACTTGCAACAGTGGGTGCGGTAACTCATTATTTCTGAATCATGAAAAGCATGATTTAATTTTTATTGTCATGGACGTCACGTACAGGTTCATACAGATCAAAATATCATAGATTGGAAAAAAAATCTTCAAATTTCTTATGATATTTTGATCTGTTGAAATGAGAAAATTATGAATATCTCTACATTACGTCCAGTTTGAAACATTGGAATTATAAAATGGGACACTTTTTGTTTACGGTCTTCTAATATGCCGATTGTACCCACCTAGGAAAAATCTACAATTTTTGCATGTTATGCAAATAATTCCATCTTTTGCTTTACGTAATTCTGAAAAGCCAGTTTTACGACCTACACGGTAGTAAGAGAGCAATGGCATTGAGGTAAAAGATGACGATGGTTTGGTAACACCTTCCTGGTTCGTAAACAATATATTTTGGATTATTATTAGCAGAAAAACCATTAATTTTCACTATGAAGGATACCTATTTACCATTAATAACCACAGACCTTTTCACAGGGTAGTTTTTATTAAATGTAGAGAAATTAAATTTCCCAGAAAATGACTCAAAGGAAAATCACCTCCTTGTCAATAGGTCCTTATACATTGTGTCCACGATAAAACGCACCATAGGGAAACGGTAATGTAACACATATCAAAGGGCTCCTGGATCCTTCACAAAAAATACCCTATGGTGCGTTCTCCCTGGGACACACGGTACACATGTACATAATCATTAAATGTTTGCAAAGAGCAATCTACATAAATTCGTTCAGTAAAACACTCGAAATTACCACTTTATTACATATATAATGTAGCGAAGAAATTCCGATAAACATCGAGGCGCCATGAAAGTCATCGGCGATAAAGAATAAAGACGCAATCTTTCCGGAAAATATGACGTGTTTTGTTCTAGAATGTTCGAGAGAGCACTAGAGTGTGCTATATATGTTGAAATATTTTAATCGACACGAATTCATTAAATTACTTTTAAATACGTTTATTTGCGATAAATGCGTTTCAGGAGCAATTGCCCCCAAGAATTCGTTCTCGGAAGATTCATCCACTGAATGTACCGTGTGTTCTATTTTGGTTGCTATTTTTTTTATAGAGGGTATCCCAGGCGGAATGGGCAATATTTTGGGAAATGAAAGTATACAAAAACGCGAATAAACTATATTTTTATTCGCAACCGTTTCGAAGATATAGTCAACAATTACCATTTTATTTTAACAACCTAATTTTAATAAGTGGACTGTATAAATCAATTGTCTAGCCAACTATGGTCAGTAAATAAGCAGTGCATCATTGCACTCGTTAATTGTCGTAAAAATAATGTAAATATAAATGTTAAAACTACACAACATTTAAGAAGAAGGATGGAGAAGTACATTAACGTACAAAGCGGAATTTTTGCGCCTTTGATGCAGTCACACTGATTCAGAATAATTGTTACTCCAAGCTGACTATAGTTGGCTATATCTTCGAAACGGTTGAGAATGAAAATATAGTTTATTTACGTTTTTGTCTTCAAATAACCTCTACTTTACTTTCACAAAATATTGTCCATTCCTCCTGGGACACCCTGTATAGCTAATTATGTATTATATTGTCACACAGTAGAAAATCAATGAATGAATTTATCCAATTTTTAACGACTACATAATCATAAATCGAGAACAAATTACTCATGGAAATTTCACTCAAAATCTAAGTAGTCATCTTCCTCCCGATATTGGTAAAATAGCCTTGTACTATGCAATCGCGTAATTGTGTAATGAGAATTCCTAACCACTGACAGGATTCTGTGGATGATCAAGGTTCTGCACGTGTTAGTGCTTTGCTCACCATAGGGTGTTGTCAGGAGGATATGACGCCAAGAGTATGAAGAGTTAAATAGCAGATGAGGATTGCTAAGAGGACAGTCGGTAGTACACAGTGCCATACAATAGTTATAATCTTCCTACCAGAATGCAAAGGTAAGATTTTGTAATATTTGCTTCAGCTTATACTTAAATAATAAACCTTTAAATAATGCAATTCTCTATCTGTAATAACGATCCCCAATTATAGTCACGTCACCTCTCGTATGCATAGAGCTACCCCCTAGACGTGACAATATTATTCAAATTTTTGAAATGACAGTCAGCTGTCTTTATTGAATGATATCGGCTGCTTTAGTTACCATGGATACAATAAACAAAACAAAATTTCCATGAATCCATGACCTACTATTTAATAACCGTAAAAAATAAGATTTTGATTTTTTGTTCATTACAAAAATTGTTTGCAGCCGCAATTTTCAAGTTTCATACAGCTTCTTGCCATATATAAAGCAATTTAAAATTGTTGAAACTCTACTGGAGAAATATATGAGGGAGCTTTGTCATAAACGATTAAAATTCACTTTTAATTATCTGTTCTATTTCATTTTCAGTGCGGCATCCTTTATTAACACAATATAAATCGATTTGTTTTACTGTAACGCGAATTTTCCATATGCAAGAAATGTGCACTGTGCATGCAGGATATCGTTTCGGAGTAAAACTAATTACATGACTGAAAAGTGACTCTTTTTAATAAGGTAGCTCCATTTTGATTTAAAAAGACACGAAATACCTATATTGCTATAAACGTGCAGGAGAAACAGTGAAAGGAGATGCCCTCAAGACTTCTTTTCATTATAAAATTGCAATTATTTTGAAATTTCGCGATTAATTTGCCCTACGTACCAAGTAAATTACATAATTCAAAAGCTACCAAATTCAATGATTATGAGTGCGCTTCTCCTAACTAGGCCCTTTATGGCAATGGTTAGGACCTGTATGCCGAAAGCGGTTATATTTTAGTTAAAGGCAGTGGCGTACTCACCTTTACCAGTATGGCTGCAGGTGACTACATCTTGCGGGACGTCCACCGCTGACCCTGCGCACAAATGATGAGATTAGTACAACGACCTATGCGTGCTTCTTGAAAGTAATGAAATGGGTCGTGTTAGCTTATTAATCAACCGAATGTATTCATACACCGGTTCCGATGAGATAATTAATTAATAAACGAACACGCCCTTCGTGATTGCACTCACCTTGCTTTAGGCACCAGTATCTTCATCTTCGTGTAATAATAAGTAAGGTATAACCACCTCCAATGTCCCTCATCCTGAGAACGTAAAATTTGACCTCAATGATTTTCGCCGGGAAAACCGTTCACTTCACACAACTGGTATGGCTATGAACTCATAGCATTAGGTTAATGTGAAGTAAACTAAATGAGACCGCGAAAAACCATTGTAGTCAATCTCACGTCACCAAGATGAAGTTGAGGAGGTAGCCGCAACTTACTTATTACGACAATAGTAGTTGTTCATTTGTTTGGTATTCACTTATGCACACAAAATAAAATACAATAGACAATGTATAAAAGGAAAGATCCTACCTTTATAAGGCTGCCCTTCTGGAATCTGCAACAAAAAATTATGTCAAAAAGGTAAAAAAATATCGGAAGTAGCTAATAACTTCGAGTAATCTGACTCAAAATAGACTAGTCACTTCTACGCTATAGCAGAAAGCTTTTAGTGAAAATTTTGTAATTGTAATTGCTGAGGTCGGTCAGCCAGACAGCCAGCCATAACGAATATCGTATTTTTTTCAAAACTGAGTTTTTAGTCTTTGAAATTTCTTTTGGATCGTACGTAACTAGCTTTACACTAAAAGAAAGCCCTGTTCTTCTCCTATGCACTGGTAAAAATGTCATAACTACAACCATTTTCAAGTAATCAAGCGTCTGCATCCGCCATTTTTTTAAAGAGAAAAATATCTTAAAAACCAAAAAAAAATTAGAGTTTATTTTCACAATCTCTACACACTTGGAATTTGTCAGACATTCAATAAATAAACTGGGAATTGCGTTTAGCACTAATCACGTTTGGAATATCGTTTAATAAGTGTAGTAAGTTACTCATCTACTTTTCCTAATTTAAAAGTAGAAACTTACCCTTAGCCTTATTAATACGGTCCCGCCTGGTCGTCAGCATCCCAAGAGGTGGCACCCCACAACTGCACCCATCGATGTTCGTTGATAGGCTCCCCGATCTTCGTATCTTCATCGCCAACTTCTGATGAGTGAAATAATTTCAAATTAAAACAGTAGGTGCTCAGACACCTATTAAATATAAAAAAAACGCAACGCTCTCGGCGTGTTGAGTGCTAAGAACTCAATCCACCAAATGGGCGGATGAAATTCACATGAGTACAGACTGCGTTTTGTTTTTTGAACAAATCTCGATGTCTTGTGAAGTGCTCACATTACACCAAATCCGAAAAAAAGCATGAAGTTACGGCAAACCACTAAAACCGCAATCCAAATTGAATTAAATGGGAAATTTTTACAAAATAATGTATAAATTCAGTACCAGAAGAATATAATGAAGTTGCATCCATCAGGTATAAAACATCATATTAAGTTTGAAAATTACTATTCCTCTTTTCTGCATTTAAGTGCGGAATTATTTATTATTAAACTTTTTAAGGTTTGGCCATTAGTTTTAAAACACTCTGTAGAAGGACGATCAAAATCTAAATCATTGGCAGGTAGCATAAAGTCGGTGTTATTGATTTTGGAAAACTTTTTGAAATTCAAGTCAACAGAGTCCCTAAAGAAAACCAGTCAACAAAATTCGAAAAATCTTGGATAACTTGAAAACCTTTGATGCTGGGTATAGGGAAATGTGATACCAAACCACGCGACGTAGACTTTCATATGGATTTCGAAAACGCAATAAAATATAGGCTTTTCTATTTAAAATGACATATACAGGGTGTAGCATCTAAGACCCCTCGGATCATAATTCCCGAGATAATTCCTTTATCATAAAAGAAACCGAAAAAAATCTTAAAGCAGAATTGTACACAATTACCGTTCTGAATTGAGGCACAGGTTAAGACCTCTTCCAATGTCACATAATTTTTTTAGGTACTTTATCGAAAAAATAAAATGTTTTATTGATCTTCGCCAAATGTTATATTTTTTTTAAATTTCAAATGGTACCCCCTTAAACAAATTATACTTCTGGATAGCCGAAACTGCAAAGTTTCCACTGATATAAACAAAACCACAAATTCCATGAGAAAATTTCAGAGAAAAAAACAAGTCGAAACCAAGACAGACAGACCGACACCATCGAGATCTTGTTTGATTTTGATTCCTGGTGCTTTAAAACGTGTATTGCAGTCAAAAAGGTGGGGGGAGGGGATCATCCCAATGCAATACCTTTCCTTACTATTGTACGGGTTTTTAATAGTTACTAAAGAAAAAATACTTGCTGTTAATAGTGGCTATAATGACTTCTTATATTCAAATCATACTATTATAGACAATAAATAATTGGGGAAAATATTAATTAGTTAGATATATCCTAAAATTGTAACTAGTATTAAATTGTGTCTAGGTTTAAGTTTAATGCAAGAAAAACGGCGCAACGTATGTATTACATAACTTACCCTAGAGGTCTAGATACCAATTTGATAGATTATTTTTGGAAATATGAAAATCGCATTTATGCTGTAAGTATTTATACATGAGAATGCTGTATGTGTGCGGGTTAAGTGGGAAAATAAGCTCTGGAAAAAGGATAAATTTTCAGTCAACCCGTAGAGATATATCGTTTAATACTGTACTCATTTACCCTAATGTAAAAGAAGAAACTTACCTTAGCTTTATTAATTAGGATCCGCCTGGCCGTTACCGAAGAGATGGCACCTACAACTGCACCCGTCGACGTTCGCTGATACGCTCCCCGATCTTCCTATCTCCGTCGCTAACATCTGAAAAGTGAAAGAATTTCAAATTAACACAACTGTTTCTCAAACCACTGAAACCACTCAAAAGCCTGTTAAGTGTACGGAATTATTTGATACAAAGTATTTACCTATGAAACTTTAAGATGTCCCAACATAAATTGAATGGGAATGTATAAATTAGAAAAAAGGGTAGCAAACGTTCAATGGTCTTAATAAATAAAATTTTATCTCTGTGGATGAAAATGAGAAATTTGAGTTGGAGAAACTTAATCCCATTGGAAACTGGTAATAGGTACCCACTCAGGGTTCGATGACGTACCTACGTGTTTTACGTTTATTGCCTTTTGACTCGACGATTTGTCGAACAATTTTCAAAGAACAACTAAAAAGGCGTTAAATAACCTTACTATGAAATAGCTAAATAACATTGTACTTTGGAGCAGGCTTTTTTTATCGCTATTTTTTTGCATAAAAAAGAAACAAAACACTTTTCACGTACCTACTTATTAACATTACGTACAATGAGCAACAATCATCCGAAAGTTTAGAAGAAAAGCGACAGAAAACCATTCAGGAACACTACAAAAATTTGAAGTTAAATTTCAACTGATTTGGGCAATAAATTAATGCAGGTGTTGTGACGTACACGGCCGATAACGCAAATATCAGTGCAGATGTGTCGTTCACTAATTCGTTATCTACTTCAACAATGTTTTAAATCGAAAAGACACCGTTTGCAATGTCCAAAATTAAAACCGATTATCCAAATATGTTGTGGTACCTACTACCCTACCAAAAGGGTAGTTTCAAAACCTTTACTTTTGAGTAACGTTTAAAGAAGTCATGTTTGGTGTACGTTTTGTATTTTGTAAAAGCATCACCCACTATTTGAGAGCTAAATTAGCAACCCTACTAATGTTAGGCGTAGGTAATTTCATCGTTTTGGTACAAATTACCCTCCCATTTGAATTGTACCTTTAAGGGTAATAATATACTCTTGAAGGTTATCCGCAAAAAGTATGGAAGGCTGTATTTGATGTTTATAGCTCTTTGCCGGTAACTCAAAAATTATATGATCAAATTTCACTTACCTATACCCCATTAGGTACAACACGTTTAGTAAGTAAGACCACCGTAATAAAGTTTTTATTACTAATAATTCGAAATACGACCAAAAACGATACCGCACTACCACGCACACATTTAAAATAAAATTTGACCTGATTTGGGTACCGAATAGACGCAGGTGTAGTGACGATTACGGCCGATTGCGTAAACGCTCGTTCGTTAGCGGGTTTTATAACGTTTAAATTGATAATTGCATTGTTTATACTGACCGAATCAGTTATCAACCAATATTTTTGCCATCGCTCCGCAAAACAATGGGGTATCAAAACTTATATTTTTGAATTTGGATCCTCATCTTTTGGGAGTGAGGGAAATTGGCTTTTTACGTAATGACTTTCATTTTGCTCATAAGAAAGCACACATCCCGATTTAAGGGGCCGACATGACGATCAAGAATATACACGATGATGATTAATTCGCAACCCTTGAAAAATGCTATGCTTTATTTAGTAAAACACTTTTCTATGGCTACTTTCTTGCGTGTCAGTCACCAACTTCTCCCTCACTGCTAGGGAACGCCCTTAGATTCAAATTTTTTTTGTGGCAGAATATAAAATACCAAAAAGGCAAAAATAAATAAACTATAAAGAACAATTTTCGTGAACAGGACACAGAATCTGAACTAAAAATCTAAAAATAAAATTGTCGTTGAAAAGGCGATTTTTAATATTGATATTTCTCAATCTATTCGTAAAACCCCAACACTTTCCAATGAAAATTTTATTTTTGATTTTTTATTTCAGATTTTGGTTATCTAAAGCTTATTTTTAAAGGGTGTGCTTTAGTGCTTTTAAACACGTACAGCATCCAATATAAATGGCACCTCCATACATCTTCAGTCAATACCTACCCTATAAGTAAAAACGCTTATCAAATGAAGAAAACCTGAATACTAAGATCTCAACCTCTCAGACGGGCGGGTGGAATTTACGCTGTTATAAACTGTTATGTCCTCCCTCAGATACCTTAGTGCTATGACATACTATGCTGAAAACCGCATGCGGGAAACCGCATGCCGGAAAATAAAAAACCGCGCCATGTATAATTAAATGCATAAAGACATACTACGTGCGTTTTGCGGTCGCCGCATATAAGCATTTAATTATACATGGCGCGGTTTTTTATTTTCCAGCATGCGGTTTCCCGCATGCGGTTTTCAGCATAGTATGTCATAGCACTTAACCGTAGAAAAAGTGCTAGTATGTCAGTTCTTCCGTAATTCAGTTCAATTTCATTTCAATCTTAGGGACTGACTTCGTTTTGAAAAGAAGCTCAAAACTCACAGGAGATTTGGTATATTAACTAGGTGTTACACTGGGATAATCGAGGTACATTACTTCTGACCAAGACCGTACATAAATAAATAGGCTGGGCATACGCACACTAAAAGGTGCAATAAAATTTTGTTCAAATTTTGGATGCGTATATTAGGCACGAAAAATAGCGGGCTAGATTTTTGAAAAATAAATTCGGAGGGCCGCAACGGCATCGAATTTATTTTTACCGGAAGCAACGTTGCTTGACTTCAGACAATGAATTAAATTATTAACGAGCGACAAAAACCGAGTTCATGCTTTTCGACTTTCTGTCCGCCCGTCCGTCCACATATGTGCATGATAACTCACGAACGGTTTTGCATTTTCCAATTCTGTTTGCAGTAGTAGGAAAACAATGGTCAAGGGACCAACTATTTAAATTTTGGTCAATATTCGTCAACCGCACGTTGTCTATATTGGTGCACGAGTTGGTGCAGTTTATTAGTATAGTAAAAAACACAAACAAAGGTAAAAGAAGCGCGTGAAGAGCCCTTTTACGTTTGATGTAGGAAGCTATTCCATCAATAATTTGGCCTCTGGCTTTTACTTGCAATATTACTTACTAAAATTTTATTACCATACCGCCATTCTGCCAAAGTTACAGGGGTGAACCTGTTTTAATTTACACACGCTATAAATGTTTGAAAATCGCTTTTTTACGGTGAAGAACGAAATATTTTCCAGTAAAGAAACTTTAAAATGTCCCACAATGAAATAGAAAAACGTTTAACGTTACCATTTATTTGACACCCAAAGATAGCAGATTTTGAGAAACGTTTAAAGCAATCATCTTTTGTACGTTATAAAAGAGTAGCTTTTTAATGCTATCTACCCATTATTTGTGAGAGTAGCAACTCTTATATGAATTACTACAATTACAAAAAAGATTTGAGGCGGGATGTTTGTGTTGTCTTTGATGGGACTTTGAAGCCTTCCAATGAAATTTGCAAGCACTTCTGAACTCTGCAAGCACTGAGAGCTTGTGCCAACAGTTTGATACATTAATTTCCAAATTGTGGGACTATCATTGAGAATAAGCAAAATTTACACAAATAATAAGCTGGCTATGAAATAAAAGCATCTGTGCAGGGCTGTAGCTAAGCATTAAATTTTGAGTAGGAAAAAGAAGAAAAGGTGAAAAGTGTACCCTAAAATTGTTACTAGTATTAAATTGTGTCTAGGGTTGATGCTTGGAAAAGTGCTGCAAGAAAAACGTCCCAACGTATTACATAACTTACCCTAGGCCTACATACAAATTCGATACATTATTTTTTTGAAATATGAAAATCTCATTTATGCTGTAAATACATGAGGATGCTGTATGCGTGCGGGTTAAGTTGGAAATTAAGCTATGTGAAAAAAAGGGTAATTTTTCCTGTAAAATGCAGTCTACAGTAAACTCGTAAATATATAACGTTTAATAGATGTATAAGTAAGTTACTCATATACCCTAATGTAAAAGTAGAAACTCACCCTTGGCGTTATTCATTAGGACCCGTCTGGCCCTTAACCAAAGAGGTGGTGGCACCTACAACTGCATCAGTCGACGATCGCTGGTACGCTCCCCGATCTTCCTATCTCCATCGCCAACATCTGAAAAGTAAAAGAATTTCAAATTAGAACTCAAGAACCTATTAAGTGTACGGAATTATTTGATACAAAGTATGTACCTATGAAACTTTAAGATGTCCCAAAATAAATTGAATGGGAATGTATAAATTAGAACAAAGGGTAGTAAACGTTCAATGGTCTTAATAAATAAAATTTTATCTCTGAGGATGAAAATGAGAAATTTTAAGGTGGAGAAACTTAATTCCATTGGAAACTTGTAATAGGTACCCACTCAAGGTTCGATGACGCACGTGTTTTACGTTTATTGCCTTTTGACACGACGATTTGTGGAACAATTTTCAAAGAACAACTAAAAAGGCGTTAAATAACCTTACTATGAAATAGCTAAGTAAAAATGGGCAGCGCAGTCTTTTTTATTGCTACCTGTTCGCTTGCAACTCAACTATTAAGAGAAACCAAACACTTTTCACGTACCTACCTGCTTATTAACAATTAACACTACGTACAATGAGCAACAATCATTCGGAAGTTCTACAAGAAAAGCGACACAAAACCATTCAACAGCACTACGCACATTTTGAAGTTAAATTTCAACTGATTTTGCCAATCAATTAATGCAGGTGTGGTGACGTATACGGCCGATAACGCAAATATCAGTGCAGATGTGTCGTTCACTAATTCGTTATCTACTTCGTCAACGTTTTAAATCGAGAAGACACCATTTACAATGTCCAAAATTAAAACCGATTATCCAAATATGTTGTGGTCCCTACTACCCTACCAAAAGGGTAGTTTCAAAACCTTTACTTTTGAGAAACGTTTAAAGAACTCATGTTTGGTGTACGTTTTGTATTTTGTAAAAGCATCACCCACTATTTGAGAGTTAAATTAGCAACCCTACTAATGTTAATTTCATCGTTTTGGTACAAATTACCCTCCCATTTGAATTGCCCTTTTAAGGGTAATAATAGCTCCTGAAATGTATCCGCAAAAAGTATGGAAAGATTGTATTTGACGTTTATAGCTCTTTGCCGGTAACTCAAAAATTGGATGATCAAATTTCACTTACCTATACCCCATTAGGTACACCACGTTTAGTAAGTAAGACCACCGTAATAAAGTTTTTATTACTAATAATTCGAAATACGACCAAAAACGATACCGCACTACCACGCACACATTTAAAATGAAATTTGACCTGATTTGGGTACCGAATGGACGCAGGTGTAGCGACGATTACGGCCGATTGCGTAAACGCTCGTTCGTTAGCGGGTTTTATAACGTTTAAATTGATAATTGCATTGTTTACACTGACCGAATTGAAGATCAGTTATCAACCAATATTTTTGCCATCGCTCCGCAAAACAATGGGGTATCAATTTGAATTTGGATCCTCATTTTTTGGGAGAGAGGGAAATTGGCTACCTATGTGACCTTTTTTACGAAATGACTTTCATTTTGCTCATAAGAAAGCATTGATATTTCTCAATCTATTCCTAAGGCCCCATACTTATTCAATGAAAATTTGATTTCTGGCTCTTTATTCCAGATTTTGGGTTTTGTTGACGAAAAGTGTGTCTATAAAAATTTATTTATTTAACAGTAAGGTACACAATTAAGGAAATTGTTAGCGTAATGGTGTGGTGTGATCATTGGCGGATTGCGTATAAGTTCATTTAATTGGAAGCCCTTAAAATGCAGATATTTGAAAGTTTTATACGAACCCTAGTAAGGGCCACAGTTCCATTTTTCATCAGCTCGAAATTTTCACTACTAATCTAACTGTTAAGGTGGCGTTGACAAAAAGTGCAAAAGTTGCCTTGCGATTTCCTCAATAACTTTGTTTCGAGGTAAAAAAAAATAAACTTCTGTTAACGACCGATGGTGGCTAAGGGTTTAAGCTTGTTAATGAAGTTAAATCTGATAACAAATTTTTATCAGTGTGTGATAAAAATGAAAGATATATATTTTATATGGGAGTTTTTTAATAACTTATTTTCTAAATAACGGCGAAAGTGCCGGAATTAGCTAAATAATTTTTGTTTCATGCAAATGTCGGAACATTATATATTTGAATGAATGCTATTTCAACCAAAAATTTGTACCCAGTAAGCAGTTATTGTGGAAACAAATTTTCAATATTTCAATGTAAACGCCACCTTAATCAAAACGTTTTGAGTAGATACAACGCACTCGCGGTTACTTAAAGCTTATTTTTCGAGTGTGCTTAAAAACACGTACATTGTCAATACAAAAAGCGCCTGCATAGATCTTCAGTGGATAGCCTAGGTATTAAACGCATATTAAATACCGAAAAGCGCAGTTTTGTACCAAACATACACGACAGAATCCAAAAATTGAACTTGTCAAATACGCACGTAATTGAAATCCGTAGGACTTGCTACATTTTTATCAACAACCGGCGGGATTTCGCCAGCGGCAAATTAATTGTACAAGTAATGACTGAGTGAATCACTCCAACTACATGGCATATACAGGGTGTAGCATCTAAGACCACTCAGAGTCAGATCATAATTCCCGAGATAAGTAATTCCTTTACCATAAAAGATCCCGAAAAGAATCTTAGAGCAGAATTGTACACAATTACCGTCGCCAAATTTCTAAGATATTTTTGATCACCATGGATGTGGCGTATCAAACTTGCGTTTTTTTAAATAGAATACCCCATATTTTATTACAGATTTGGCACAGGTTAATACCTCTTCCAATGTCACATAATTTTTTTAGGTACTTTATCGAAAAAATTATTGATCTTCGCCAAATGTTATTTTTTTTTTAAATTTCAAATGGCACCCCCTAAACAAATTATACTTCTGGATAGCCAAAACTACAAAATTTACACTGATGTAAACAAAACCACACATTCCATAAGAAAATTTCAGAGCGCTGGAAAAAGGGTCAATTTTCCTGTAAAATGCAGTGTACAGTAAACTCGTAGAGATATATCGTTTAATACTGTCCTCATTTACCCTAATGTAAAAGTAGAAACTTACCTTAGCTTTATTAATTAGGATCCGCCTGGCCGTTACCGAAGAGGTGGCACCTACAACTGCACCCGTCGACGTTCACTGATACGCTCCCCTATCTTCCTTATCCATCGCCAACATCTGAAAAGTGAAAGAATTTCAAATTAACACAACTGTTTCTCAAAAACCAAATGTCGATGTCTAGTGATGATAAAGGATGTGTTCACATTACATTGCATCCGAACATAAGGGATAAGGTTGGGACAAACCACTAAAACCGCAATCCACGTTTGATTAAATGCGAAATTTTTACCAACAATATCAACTCAATACCAGGAGAATGTGAAGTTAGCTGTAAAATATCGTGAAAGTTTCAAAATTACTCTTCCGTCTTTTTCTACAACTAAGTACGGAAGGATTATAAAGATGTACCTATGAAACTTTAAGATGTTTCAAAATAAATTGAGTGAGAATGTATAAATTAGAAATAAGGGTAGCAAACGTTCATGGTCTTAATAAATCAAATTTTATCTCTGAGGATGAAAATGAGAAATTTGAGTTGGAGAAACTTAATCCCATTGGAAACTGGTAATAGGTACCCATTCAAGGTACGATGACGTACGTGTTTTATGTTTATTGCCTTTTGACTCGACGATTTGTGGAACAATTTTCAAACAACTACAAAGGCGTTTATGGGTTGAATAAATAACCTTACTGTGAAATAGATTAGTAAAATTGGGCTTGAGCGTCTTTTTTATTGCTACTTGTTTGCTTGCAACTCAACTATTAAGAGAAACCGAACACTTTTCACGTACCTGTTTATTAACAATTAACACTACGTACAATGAGCAACAAACATTCGTTAGTTCTACTATAAAAAGCGACACAAAACCATTCAACAGCACTACGCACATTTTGAAGTTACATTTGAACTGGTTTTTCCAACAAATTAATGCAGGTGTGGTGACATATACGGCGATAACGCAAATATCAGTGCAGATGTGTCGTTGACGAATTCGTTATCTACTTCGTCAACGATTTAAATCGAAAAAACACCGTTTACAATGTCCAAAATTAAAACCGATTATCCAAATGTGTTGTGATCCCTACTACCCTACCACAAGGGTAGTTTCAAAACCTTTACTTTTGAGAAACGTTTAAAGAACTCATGTTTGGTGAACGTTTTGCATTTTGTAAAAGCATCACTCACTATTTGAGAGTTAAATTAGCAACCCTACTAATGTTAATTTCATCGTTTTGGTACAAATTACCCTCCCATTTGAATTGTACCTTTAAGGGTAATACCTAATAACTCCTGAAATGTATCCGCAAAAAGTATGGAAGGATTTTATTTGACGTTTTTAGCTCTTTGCCGGTAACTCAAAAATTGGATGATCAAATTTCACTTACCTACCCCATTAGGTGCACCACGTTTAGTAAGTAAGACCACCGTAATAAAGTTTTTATTACTAATAATTCGAAATACGACCAAAAACGATACCGCACTCCCACGCACACATTTAAAATGAAATTTGACTTGATTTGGGTACCGAATGGACGCAGGTGTAGTGACGATTACGGCCGATTGCGTAAACGCTCGTTCGTTAGCGGGTTTTGTAACGTTTAAATTGATAATTGCATTATTTACATTGACCGAATCAGTTATTAACCAATATTTTTGCCATCGCTCCGCAAAACAATGGGGTATCAAAACTTATATTTTTGAATTTGGATCCTCATTTTTTGGGAAAGCGGGAAATTGGCTTTTTACGTAATGACTTTCATTTTGCTCATAAGGAAGCACACATACCGATTTAAGGGGCCGACATGACGATCAAGAATATACATGATGATGATTAATTCGCAACCCTTGAAAAATGCTATAGGTACTTTATTTAGTAAAACACTTTTCTATGGCTACTTTCTCGTGTGTCAGTCACGAACTTCTCCCTCACTGCTAGGGAACGCCCTTAGATTCAAATTTTTTTAGTGGCAGAATATAAAATACCAAAAAGGCAAAAATAAAAGAAAAACTATAAAGAACAATTTTCGTTGAACAGAATACAGAATCTGAACTAAAAATCTAAAAATAAAATTGTCGTTGAAAAGACGATCTTTTTAATATTGACATTTCTCAATCTATTCGTAAGACCCCAACACTTTCCAATGAAAATTTTATTTTTGACTTTTTATTTCAGATTTTGGTTACCTAAAGCTTATTTTTAAAGGGTGCGCTTTAGTGCTTTTAAACACGTACAACATCAATTTAATGGCACCTCCATGCATCTTCAATCACTACCTACCCTATAAGTAAAAACGCTTATCAAATGAAGAAAACCTGAATGCTGAGATCTCAAACGGGACGAATGGAATATACGCTGTTATAAGCTGCATTTTTTTTAAATGCGCCAAGTCTACGCCAAACAATCAAATTCAAAAATTCAAATATTGGGGTAATTATTAATATATTCCATTGTCTTCTGTCTTCTGAAATTTTAACTGAAGATACTCCTTACAAAACGAATTGAAAGCACACCTCAAGAAATGGATAGCGGAGTCAATTTTTTTATTTGTAAACGCATTTTTCGAAAATTTTAGCAGAAAGTGGTACTTATATAATTATTAAATTGACCGCATATATAAAAAATAGATCAACTTTTTTTTTTGTGGACCAATGTTTCTGAAATTTTAACAGAAAATGTGCTATTGTGGCCATTTTGTGCGCCGATCAGTGGGTCCGTCGGTCCCTACGGCTGTGTCGCTTCTCATAATTGTACATTTTATTGTGCTTATACATTTTATACGATTGTTGCATTTTGATTTTTGATTAACCAAAGCTTCAACATGAATCTTGTTCTACTTTAATGATCATTTTGGATCAAAGAAACCCAAAATTTGATTGAGGAAACGATTAAATGCAATGATAAAGAAGAATAAAACTGGTACCGTTGGAATCCACAGTTAACCCTTTGGGGCAATATTTATTATATGCACCTTTTGAAAGAATAGATTGCGAAATAGATTGCGCATGCGGAGATCCAGCTAAATTTTAAGGGAAAGTGCTTCTTAAACAAATTAATTAAACGTACAGTCGTGATCAAAAGTAATGTTCTCCCTCAGATACCTTAACCGTAGAAAAAGTGCTTGTATGTCAGTTCCTCTGTGATTTAGTACAATTTCATTTCAATCTTAGGGACTGCCTTCGTTTTGAAAAGAAACTCAAATCTCACAGGAGATCTGGTATATTAATTAGGTATTACGCTGAGATAATCGAGAGACATTACTTCCCACCAAAACCGTACACAAAAAAATAGGCTGCGCATACGCTAAAAGGCGCAATGCAATTATTACGCATCCACAGAATTACATTGTTTATTTGAGCCAGTTCTCCTGAAATTTCAGCGGAAGATACTCTTATCAAAGCAAATTGAATTCACATCAAAAAGTTACTAATTTTTTGGACAAAGGCTGTTAATGTAGAATTGCACTTTTTAGTGCATTTTCCAACTCATGTACTGCTACGTAGCCGGAGGTCGGGTGTTCGAACCTAGGTTTTAAGTAGGAACACTGGCAATTTTCCTACGGATTTTGTTCAAATTTTGGAGACGTATATTAGGCACGAAAAATAACGGGCTAGATTTTTGAAAAATAAATTCGGAGCGCCGCATTTTTTTACCCATCCAAATACTAACCGGAAGCAACGTTGCTTGACTTCAGACAATGAAATAAATTATTAACGACCGACAAAAAGCGAGTTCATGATTTTTGACTTTCTGTCCGTCCGTCCGTCCACCTGTGTACATGATAACTGATGAACGGTTTTGAATTTTCCAATTCTGTTTGCAGTAATAGGTCGACAATGATCAAGGGTCACAATAAAATAGAAAAAAGTTTAACGTTACCATTTATTTGACACCCAAAAGATAGGAAAACCTTCAATTTTGAGAAACGTTTATAGCAATCATCTTTTGTACGTTATAAATGAGTAGCTTTTTAATTGTACGCATTATTTGGGAGAGTAGCAACTCTTATATGAATGACTACAATTACAAAAAAAAGGTTTCAGGCGGGATGTTTGTGTTGTCTTTGATGGGACTTTGAAACTTGCAAGCCTTCCAATAAAATTTGCAAGCACTTCTGAACTCTGCAGCACTGAGAGCTTGTGCCATCAGTTTGAAACATTCATTTCCACGTTTTGGGACTATCATTGAGAATTAGCAAAAGTTACACAAATAATAAGGTGGCTATGAAATAAAAGCATCTGTGCAGGGCTATAGATAAGCATTAAATTTTGAGTAGGAAAGAGAAAAAAAGGTGTGAAGTGTACCCTAAAATTGTTACTAGTATTAAATTATGTCTAAGGGTTAATGCTTGGAAAAGTGCTGCAAGAAAAACGTCCCAACGTATTACATAACGTACCCTAGGCCTAGATACAAATTCAATACATTATTTTTCTGAAATATGAAAATCGCATTTATGCTGTAAATACATGAGGATGCTGTATGCGTGCGGGTTAAGTTGTAAAATAAGTTATGTGAAAAAAAGGGTAATTTTTCCTGTAAAATGCAGTCATACAGTAAACTCGTAAAAATATAACGTTTAATAGGTGTATAGTAAGTTACTCATATACCCTAATGTAAAAGTAGAAACTCACCCTTAGCGTTATTCATTAGGACCCGCCTGGCCCTTAACCAAAGAGGTGGCACCTACAACTGCACCCGTCGACGTTCGCTGATACGCTCCTCGATCTTCCTATCTCCATCGCCAACATCTGAAAAGTAAAAGAATTTCAGATTTAAACTCAAAAACCTATTAAGTGTACGGAATTATTTGATACTAAGTATGTACCTACGAAACTTTAAGATGTCCCAAAATAAATTGAATGGGAATGTATAAATTAGAACAAAGGGTAGTAAACGTTCTGTGGTCTTAATAAATAAAATTTTATCTCTGAGGATGAAAATGAGAAATTTGAGTTGGAGAAACTTAATTCCATTGGAAACTTGTAATAGGTACCCACTCAAGGTTCGATGACGTACGTGTTTTACGTTTATTGCCTTTTGACTCGACGATTTGTGGAACAATTTTCAAAGAACAACTGAAAAGGCGTTAAATAACCTTACTATGAAATATCTAAGTAAAATTGGGTAGCGCCGTCTTTTTTATTGCTACCTGTTTGCTTGCAACTCAACTATTAAGGGAAAACGAACACTTTTCACGTACCTGCTTATTAACAATTAACACTACGTACAATGAGCAACAATCATTCGGAAGTTCTACAAGAACGACACAAAACCATTCAACAGCATACGCACATTTTGAAGTGACATTTGAACTGATTTTACCAATAAATTAATGCAGGTCTTGTGTCGTATACGGCCGATAACGCAAATATCAGTGCAGATGTGTCGTTCACTAATTCGTTATCTACTTCGTCAACGTTTTAAATCAAAAAGACACCGTTTACAATGTCCAAAATTAAAACCCATTATCCAAATATGTTCTGGTCCCTACTACCCTACCAAAAGGGTAGTTTCAAAACCTTTACTTTTGGGAAACGTTTAAAGAAGTCATGTTTGGTGTACGTTTTGTATTTTGTAAAAGCATCACTCATTATTTGAGAGTTAAATTAGCAACCCTACTAATGTTAGGCATGGGTAATTTCATCGTTTTGGTACAAATTACCCTCCCATTTGAATTGTACCTTTAAGGGTAATAATGTACTCCCGAAAAAGTATGGAAAGATTGTATTTGACGTTTATAGCTCTTTCGCGGTAACTCAAAAATTGGATGATCAAATTTCACTTACCTACCCCATTAGGTACACCACGTTTAGTAAGTAAGACCACCGTAATAAGGTTTTTATTACTAATAATTCGAAATACGACCAAAAACGATACCGCACTACCACGCACACATTTAAAACGTAATTTGACCTGATTTGGGTACCGAATGGACGCAGGTGTAGTGACGATTACGGCCGATTGCGTAAACGCTCGTTCGTTAGCGGGTTTTGTAACGTTTAAATTGATTGCATTGTTTACATTGACCGAATTGAAGATCAGTTATCAACCAATATTTTTGCCATCGCTCCGCAAAACAATGGGGTATCAAAACTTATATTTTTGAACTTGGATCCTCATTTTTTGGGAGGGAGGGAATTGGCTTTTTACGTAATGACTTTCATTTTGCTCATAAGGAAGCACACATCCCGATTTAAGGGGCCTACATGACGATCAAGAATATACATGATGATGATTAATTCGCAACCCTTGCTTTATTTAGTAAATCACTTTTCTATGGCTACTTTCTTGCGTGTCAGTCGCGAACTTCTCCCTCACTGCTAGGGAACGCCCTTAGATTCAAAATTTTTTAGTGGCAGAATATAAAATACCAAAAAGGCAAAAATAAAAAAACTATAAAGAACAATTTTCGTTGAACAGGACACAGAATCTGAACTAAAAATCTAAAAATAAAATTGTCGTTAAAAAGGCAATCTTTTTAATATTGATATTTCTCAATCTATTCGTCAGACTCCAACACTTTCCAATGAAAATTTTATTTTTGACTTTTTATTTCAGATTTTGGTTACCTAAAGCTTATTTTTAAAGGGTGCGCTTTAGTGCTTTTAAACACGTACAACATCAATTTAATGGCACCTCCATGCATCTTCAATCATTACCTACCCTATAAGTAAAAACGCAGATCAAATAAAGAAAACCTGAATGCTGAGATCTCAAACTCTCAGACGGGCGGATGGAATGTAGCTGCATTTTTTTAAATACGCCGTATATGTCTACGCCAAACTATCAAATTCATATAAACAATTTTACACCTGATGATACGCGGTTTTCCATAATTTATATCAGGTTGGGGAAAAATAAGTTTGATTAAAATCTTGTCATTGGATAAACTAAGTAAAATGGGTTTTTAGAGGCAATGGTGAACCATTTTCGTCCATTAATGGCCACATAATTTAAACAATAAAATTGCATTATTTTATCAACTTTATTTGACACCCAAAGATAGCAAAATCTTCAATTTTGAGAAACGTTTAAAGTAATTATCTTTTGTACGTTATAAAAGAGTAGCTTTTTAATGCTATCTACCCATTATTTGGGAGAGTAGCAACTCTTAGAATTACTACAATTACAAAAAAGATTTCAGGCGGGATGTTTGTGTTGTCTTTGATGGGACTTTGAAGCTTGCAAGCCTTCCAATAAAATATGCAAGCACTTCTGGAACTCTGCACGCACTGAGGGCTTGTGCCAGTAGTTTGAAACATTCATTTCCAAGTTTTGGGACTATCATTGAGAATAAGCAAAATTTACATAAATAATAAGGTGGCTATGAAATAAAAGCATCTGCGCAGGGCAGTAGCTAAGCATTAAATTTTGAGTAGGAAAGAGAAGAAAAGGTGAAAAGTATACCCTAAAATTGTTACTAGTATTAAATTGTGTCTAGGGTTAATGCTTGGAAAAGTGCTCCAAGAAAAACGTCCCAACGTATTACATAACTTACCCTAGGCCTACATACAAATTCGATACATTATTTTTTTGAAATATGAAAATCGCATTTATGCTGTAAATACATGAGGATGCTGTATGCGTGCGGGTTAAGTTGGGAAATAAGTTATGCGAAAAAAAGGGTAATTTTTCCTGTAAAATGCAGTCTACAGTAAACTCGTAAAAATATAACGTTTAATAGATGTATAGTAAGTTACTCATATACCCTAATGTAAAAGTAGAAACTCACCCTTAGCGTTATTCATTAGGACCCGCCTGGCCCTTAACCAAAGAGGTGGCACCTACAACTGCATCAGTCCACGATCGCTGGTACGCTCCCCGATCTTCCTATCTCCATCGCCAACATCTGAAAAGTAAAAGAATTTCAATTAAAACTCAAAAACCTATTACCTAAGTGTACGGAATTATTTGATACAAAGTATGTATGTACCTATGAAACTTTAAGATGTCCCAAAATAAATTGAATGGGAATGTATAAATTAGAACAAAGGGTAGAAAACGTTCATGGTCTTAATAAATAACATTTTATCTCTGTGAATGAAAATGAGAAATTTGAGTTGGAGAAACTTAATCCCATCGGAAACTGGTAATAGGTACCCATTCAAGGTTCGATGACGTACGTGTTTTACGTTTATTGCCTTTTGACTCGACGATTTGTGGAACAATTTTCAAAGAACAACTAAAAAGGCGTTAAATAACCTTACTATGAAATAGCTAAGTAACATTGTACTTTGGAGCAAACTTTTTTATCGCTACTTTTTTGCTTGCAACATAAAAGAGAAACGAAACACTTTTCACGTACCTGCTACGTACAATGAGCAACGAGCATTCAAGAAAAGCGACACAAAACCATTCAGCAGCACTACGCGCATTTTGAAGTTAAATTTCAACTGATTTTGCCAATAAATTAATGCAGGTGTGGTGACGTATACGGCCGATAACGCAAATATCAGTGCAGATGTGTCGTTGACTAACACTCACTAACTCGTTATCTACATCGTCAACGTTTTAAATCGAAGACACAATGCAATGGCCAAAATTAAAAACCGATTCGCCAGATATTTTGTGGTTCCTACTACCCTACCAAAAAGGTAGCAAAACATTTACTTTTGAGAAACATTTTGTAAGAGCACCACCCATTATTTGCAAGATAAATGAGCAACCCTTGTATACATACTAACTTCATCGTCTTGCTACAAATTACCCTCACATGTGAATTGTACCTCTAAGGGTGATTGAAATTTATCAGCAAAGCTTTATACGCTCATTGCTCTCTACCCGTAACCCAAAAATTGGATAATCAAATTTCACTTACCTACCTGATTGGGTACACCACGTTTAGTAAGACCACCATACTAAAGTTTTTATTAAAAATTATTCGAAATACGACCCAAAAACATATTGCATCTACCACGCACGCATTTAAAATGAAATTTGACTGATTTGGGTACCAAAAGTATACAGGTGTTGTGAAGTATGTGCCGATAGCGTAAAAACCCGTGTGCAAATCGTTCGATCGTTCGTTATCGGAATTTGTCAACGTTTGGCATTGTTTAGATTGACGAAATTAAAAATATTCCCGCATCGCTCTCTCAAACCTAATGGCGTAAGAAAATTTATATTTTTGAGAAATCTTCCCCATTTTTGGGATGGGTAGAAATTAGCTACTCTTATACGATTGGCAATGTGACCTTGTCTTACAGTATGGGCCGTATGGGCTACACTTGTTGCATAAAAATGCAATAATATCGATTTAAGGAGCTGGGTTTTAATCAAAATAATTCAAAATTCGTCGTTTTAAAATGTAATGCTGTTATAGTGGTCAAATTTTTCTCATCGTCTGCCCATGCTTTAGGTTACTACCCACTTAGCACTCGACTTATACGTATGTAGCTATGTATTTACCCTTGCAATCCAAAATGTACAGAGGATATCCTGTGCATCTTATGTATACAGTCTGTTCTATAAAAAAGGCCCACGAATGTAGCCACTTTGATTGTATTTTTATTTCATAAAACAACATACAGTGCGTTTTTTTAAAGACTAGCCATAAAATTTTACATATTAATTTTTAAACCCACTGTTAACTTTTGTCTTCAGGAAAATATTCAATCCAGTTTTGGGAGAGCTGATAAAGAATTAAAATAATTCCAATTTAATATCAACAAGGAAGGAAAAACCTAGCAGAAAGATTTTTTTCTAATATCATTTGCTTCAATTTTAAATTTTTAGTAGGCTGAAATTTCA